TTCCTACCAGGGTACGTGTTACCCCGTTACACAGATAGTCGAGCAATTTGTGCTCGATTATCACATTGATTTCAGTCCATTAAAACTAAGACGTCGGATTGACAGCAAATGTTACTAAAGTAGAGTGGGTACTTAGCTCACATAAAGCTGATCAAGGCGCAGGTGGTTCGACCGTGGAGTTGTGACCTAGGGCAAAAAGCGCTCTAGTGGCTACTACTTTCATTTTTGCCCGAGCTGAAGGCCCATACGCATTGGCGCTTGAGACTCAACCGCGGTACGGCAGGCAACTTCTCATAAATTCATTCTATAGTCACGACATGAATACTTCGGTAAAGGTGTTGCGACGCTTGGCTTGCAGTAAGTAACATGTCATTGGACACTGTAAGTACAATCATGATTTAACTTGTTTAAATAGACTATGCTCTACACTTTGCGGTTTTCAATTGAATGCATGTATCGGAAATGACCTGACACGATTAATACCAATCCTCAACTCTTAGAAAAAAAACTGCTGTAATAAAACTTAGGATCATCATCTCAAGTCATGAGTTTGATGTCTGCTTTAACAGTGTCACAAAAAGTAAAAAACGTTTTGTTCACTGTGTTGAATGTTTTATTGCAATAAGTGTACGCTGATAGGAAAAGCGTCAACCTGTCAGTTAATACGTTCGTTGCCTTCTTGATTGATATCCTATTTATATGTCTTGTATTTTCTGATTAGTAATTTGGACTGTGAGATACTATTATTAATATTTCTGGGAACAGACAGGGCACATATTTTCACCGGCAAAAAATGATACTTGGCGTATATTTATAATCAAGCGGTCTAGCGACACCAAAGAAATTTCAATTTTGTTAATAATTTCTCGGATGAGCAAGATATGTTACGTGAGGCACCACATTATGTCGATGCAGTGTTAATAAATATATCTCACTAAGATGTCTTCACGAAGATGTAGACATGCATGATCGCAATACACATGCAGTTTGATCGGCTGTCGATGAAATTCATTATAGCTTCCGAGTTCTTTGATAAAGAGAACACAAATCTTTTAGATGTCTGTTATCGGGTCTCAATACATTATGTCATCGCACTAATACATCTCCCCCAAAAGGATATCCAAATTACCAATCGATGTTCAAGTTACCAGGTGTCTCGTCGTCAAACGAAGACATGCTGGGGTGGAAGGGATCGAAAGGTTGTATAAATCTGAATGTGCGGCTGGAAAAGCCCTTTTTTGTCTGCTGGCTATGACTGCTAGCAGTGAATATTCCAGTGTTTCGTAGCGATATGATGTGGCCAAATAGAAGTGGGTTTCGATTGGACCCGAAAGGAGTCTTGTCCGTGGCACTCTTCACACACAATGCACAAAAAAGTTGCTTCTTGGCTCGTCCGGATTTGCTAAGTTGAAATATATGGTGCTGTTCAGAACAATCCTTGCATACTGTCTGTTGGTATTTCCGAAGAAAAGTCTACGTCAATAATGGTACCATTGTCATAAAGCAGTGTACGCACCTGATGGCATCCTGAACAATGGGAGTACGATCCCAGCGTTGGCTTTCGCGCGCAGACGTGGCATGTTGTACTGCACATGAAGACGAGGCGAGGATTAAACGTAGGCTTTGCATTGAGACGGACGTGTTCGGATGCAATCAAACGTCATGTGAGTAACTTTACCTGGTAGCCAACCACTGGTGGCTGTCGGCTTTGTCAATGAGAGTGCTAAAGTTCTTCGCTCGGCCTACGTTGGGGCTGTCGACGATCTTGAGCCACGTGCTTGCGACGTTGAAGTGGAAAAATCTCTCTAGTACTAATCTGGATTTGGTGATTGAGCCCCACACGAAGACTTCTGTCTTGTTCGTTTGCATAAGTCGACGATACAGATAACATACTGCAGTGTGCTGACGCAACATGTTAGGTGTAGGTTCGCATGGCCACTCGGGTCTTGTAATTGACTGTAGCGTGTGATAAGCAATTTCGTTACCCCGAGCGTCAGTTGTGAGACCCATTCGCTCATACGTTAGAGCGTTTTGATCATGTAGTAGACCCCATGCACGTCTGCCAGCAAACCACTTGATCCCTGCAAACCGGAACGGATCCTCAGACGTCCGACGTTGATGTGCATTGAGAACCAGACCATCCTTTAGATCATATCCTAGTAAAATTTTGGAAGTTTGAAACTCGTCTGTTGTCTCACTGTACAAACCGCCCATGACATCTTCGAGTTTGCCGTCAATGAGGCCTGTTCCGATCATGACGATCAAACCTGGGTGAGCTGACCCAATCACATTGTTAAAAATGCTGACCTCCTTACGACGTTTCACAAATGCCCAATGCTCTGAATCGATATTCGTAGGATTAAATTTGGCTCGTTCGGCAACAGTATCTTGTAATAACTTTCGAGCGGCATTATCATACTTGACACATTCTTCTCGCGTGAGTCTAATCTGCGAACACTGGTTGGGATCTTGCATGTGATAGTAGATGACGGAACAATTATTAGGAGGTCAGCTGCGTTGGCGTAGCAGTAAATTGAATTGTGAGTGTGGGCTATTCTTTTATCATAGATTCTTAGTCAGATCGTCAAGCTCAGCATCATGAACTGGAGTCTTAGTCATTTGAATTGAGCTTATCGCATTAGTGAACAAAATCGTCGATCTACGTTCGACTATTATACTCTTGAATATGGCACGCCCATTGAAATCAATGTGACTAATACGTGTGGCAACAGCACACCAAAAATTCGCAGTAGTATCACTGATTTAGAATTAAGACATGCATCGATGTAGATGTGTTATCCAGAGACGTAAGCCATTCAAAGGCATGATCACCTTTGCGATACCTTTGATCTTAAGTTGCAACGCCTACGAGGTCTCAAGTACCTTCAAGACTTCACACAGCTACGATACAATCCAGTTTTCCAAGAAATCAGTTAACTAAGAAAGTACATGTATTCACATTAACATCTCTTTAGGACAGAAGGGCGTTCGTGTCAGTATTTTCATGAAACGGAACCAAAAAAAGCTGTCGGATATTAATCCCACAATTAAATATCAAAATGTCGTCAGGTCAAGCTCAAAATTTCAGAGTGAAATCTGCTTCAACAAGTTTTCTATTACCATTTCAAGCAACTTTGTATACACCGTTATATGCCAGTGGATTGTATCAAATCCCAGACAATTTGCTGATTTGATTATAGAAATTCTTAAATATAGTAGCATAAACTTCATTGTAAATATTACATCTTCAACGGGCCAAGGCCATCAAGTAAATTAACATATCACACTTATCTATTGCGATTTTGTTATTTCATGTCTTCAAAGAAGCTGTTCATATTTGGCTTGGGTTACTCTGCGTCTCGAGCAGCTCGCGTCTTTCAATCGGCTGGCTACTTGATTTCAGGTACCGTTCGGTCTGTCAATTCTGCGTCGCAATTATCTCAAGTGGATGCCGAATTATTTCGTTTTGATCAATCTGATTCTTCACCACAGAACGTTTATGTGTTTGATGGGGAAAGTTGGAGTGACAGCAATTTATTCTCACTTGAGTTAGCTCTTAAAGGTGTTACGCATGTACTGATTTCTGTACCCACGGGGCGCATCGACGGAAAGGAAGATCCCGTTTTGTCAAGTCTGGGAGATCTCTTGATCTCTGCTATAAAAGACTCGGTACAGTGGGTGGGATATTTGTCTACTATTGGAGTTTACGGAGAGACAAATGGAGAAATAGTGAACGAATCTGCTCCCGTGAAATCGTTAGTAAAGCGATCGCAAATGCGGATCAAAGCTGAACAATTATGGCTCGAATCGGGTCTTCCTGTTCACATTTTTCGAATTGCTGGAATTTATGGACCTGGTCGAGGAATCATTCCTAAAGTTCGGAGCGGAATGGCAACGAGAATTCACATTCCTAATCGTAAATTTAATCGAATTCACGCTGATGATATAATCAATATTTTGCTGGCGTCGGCGGCTCAGCCAAACCCAGGAGCGATTTACAACGTATGCGATGATGAACCAGCGCCGGCTGATGAAGTCACGGCTTATGCGTGTGAATTATTGGGAGTCTCGATGCCTCCTCTTCAATCTTGGGAAAAAGCTGAGAAAGATATGAGTCCAATGGTAAAGAGCTTTTACGCCGAAAGTAAACTATGTGCTAATCAAAGGATCAAACGCGAGCTTGGGGTAAAATTGTTATACCCAACCTATCGTTATGGACTTCTTGCACAAGTGCTGGAAGAGGAAAAATTGGTGAAGAATGAGCTAAAAGCACCGATCAAGAGTCTTTTCGCTTCATCAGATTCTATCCCTCGTATGATTGTGCTTATAAACACTGGCTCGTTGCGTGCAGAATCGTACGCAAATATGCGTCACATTAGTTTCCAATTAAGTCGAGCATTACGTCAACTTGTAGTGCCGTGTGGCTTTGGATTGTCGGACCAAGTGAACACTCGAGAGCATAATGGACTTAGGGCTAAGACCCTCGAGATGGTCGTGGCTGAGCACCTTGCTCTTCATAACAATTGTGCAAGTGAAATAATCGTTTTGCCGCTTTTCCTCGGACCAAGCGTGATAATGAGAGACTATATGCCGAACATTTTTGACAAGGTGTGGGCTGCGCGTCCTTCAGCGTCACTTTCAGTTCGTGTCGGTGATTGTCTTGTAAAGAGCTGTGATGACACTCGTGTTGCTGAGATGCTGCTTGAACGAAGTAGCCAAGTTGTGAATTTCACGACTGTGAAAGAGAATGTGACTATACTTGTTGTATATCCTGATACCTTAAGTCGGGAAGCATCCGGAGAAATTGACATGGTGGCGCAACAGTTGCGTAGGTTACTCAAAACCAACCAGCACATAAAATTGGCTGGCTCAGCTTGTATTGAGTCCCAGAAAGGTGCCAGTCACGACTCTAGCGATCCCCCTCTTGCTGAGGCGCTCGAATACTACTCTGTGAGCGAAGGTATTGTCGTTTTTGCAAAGTCGTTCTTCTCGGATGATTGCATAGAAAAAAATATCGAAGAGATCATACAGTGCGTTCGTGCAGGCCACCCAGACCTAGACTTACGTGTTGCGGAGGCCCTGGGACCAAATGAGCTGCTGTCAAGTATCCTGAGCGATCGCTACGACTCCGCAGTATCCAAAGACACTCCAGACTACTCGCTGTGTGGATCCAAGTAAAACTTTACAGTGATGTGACATTGTCACGAATTCTCAAATTCAGGCATCAGTCACACGATTTACAACACGCGTAGCCACTCGATTTACTTCAGTTTGTATGGTTTTTGGTAGTTCTCCGTGTTGATTGCGAGCAATGCTTAGAGCCTTGACAAGTAGCAAATTATCTGCCTCTGCTCGCACAAGTTGGCTCTTCAATCTTGTTTTATCCGCGTGTAAAATACTTAGCTGACCGTGATCGCTTAGATTTTGCGACTTGCCAACTATGTTGTTATCCGACTCTTCCGATACTGATGAGGTTACAATCATCTGTATGTCTTGATTGCGGCGCTCCTGTCGGTATTCTTCGAATGCTTTTTCTACTTTCTTGAGTTGACTTGTCTTGTTATTGATTTCTTGATCTTTTTTGTCGGAAAGCTGCTGCCACTTCATTACTTTCCTCTTCCATTCGGTCAACAATTTACTGACTTCTTTGGTAGTATATTCCTTTTCTTCAAGTTGATTTTTTAGTAAATCGTAACTTTGTTGCAGTTTCGATCTCGATTGAAGGAGCTGTTCGTGTTCTTTCAGGACTTCACGAAGTTTGCCTTCCACCTCCAAAGCTTTACGCTCAACGACTGCAAAATACTTCCGCCAGTTTTTCGTTTGCCTAAATAATCTGATAAATTTGTCAGGAACGCGAGCTTGAACACGATCACGACAGTTGCGGATAATTTCGTATACAACCTGCTCCACTGTACAGATCAAGTAAGTAATTGTGGTGAGCTTAATACATCCGGTAAATCAACTCACCATAGAAACAGCAAATTTTGCTACAAAGCTGCGTTTGAGTAATCATGAGTCGGCGATCAACTAAAGACAGATTTGACAAGGAGAAGGCTACTTGGAGTACGCCATATACTGCACCTGCACATTAAAAGCCTGTTTATGGTCTCTAGCAGAAAAGTTGGTCGAAAACTAAACGCACCATCAATTGAAACAAGAGCTGACGATACCATACCATACAGTGGCTTTGACGACTCTACACGTGGCTTAAACGTTGTCAGTTTCCACACATTATCTGGCGGCAAGCCGCTCAATACGAATTGATCGACCATGGGATGATAGCGCGGATCCGCAGAAACATCCATGATGATGACACTGGATCCACTCGATTGGGTGCTCCCTGCGATACCGAGAGATGCTGGGACCTGAATGAGCTGTGTCCCCTCTCGTTGTGTCCAAAGTTCATTGCTGCTTGGGTCGAAAAGAAAGAGGATTGCCGAAGCACCATGTAAAATTTGCGCGAATGTACTCGCTACATTGTCAAAGAGCTCTTGTACTGTGGTGGATTGAAAGAGACGACGAATAAGCGTCTGAAGCACTTGGATTGAGGCCCCAGAGGTTGCTTGCTCGTCAGCTGGAGACAAAAGACCCATTTCGGCTTGAAAGGTGGCCTCATTTTGTTCAGACATCTCAGCCACTGCTGCTTTACTCTTCCGTTTCATTTCTTTAACCACGCGGCGGTGCTCTTCAGTACGAGATGCAGCTGACTCAATTCGACAATGAGAGAAGAAAGCTCTCATCCGCCATAAACGGTGGTGATATGCCATCCAACACAACTTTCCAAGAGTCAAGCGGCGTAAATATGTACACGACAAATCTTGTTCAATCTGAAGATTGGTGCAAAGTATTGCCATATGAGATAGCGCCGTAGACTTTACTCTCCACAATCTAAATGCGATCGAAATAGGAGAACTTCTTATCGTGTACGACATCAGACATCGTCGAACGAGAAAGAGCTGCTGCTTTGCCTTAATTTTCCAAAACCTTTGCCAGCGCTGAAAACTCATCATCAGTTCGTTCGTTCTCCAGTACTTCTGGAATGATTCATATCGCCGCCACTGTAGTATTTTGAACTTCCATACCCAAAATGCGAGAATTTTCTTGTTTCTCTGACATATACATGTGACACTGCTTAAAGCACGATTTTTGCTTTGCACATCGACGAGCAAACGTTTCCAATGTAAGAAAGCTTCAGTAATGTCTTTGGAAATTGTCCGATTTAGCATCAACTTGTTTAGCACTAGTAGGAATCGTAGCTGTAGACTGTGCTTTTCTTCTTGGGACTTGAACCTTACGCGTTGAGAAAATAAATATGATTCGACATCAAGCAATTTATGTTGAAGCTCGCGTACATCACTCGAAAGTTGGTCGACACTTAATGATTTGCTTCGTAAATGCAAATTCGTCTCGGCTAATTGTCGAGATAAAAGCTCATTGCCAGTCTGCAGAGTTTCAATTTGGCCAAGAAATTGATATCGTCTCCATCTTGTCAAAACGATGCGATAGTAGAAGCGCATGATTTTAACCTCGATGCATACAATTGATTTCCGCTCGACTTCTAACGTATTCATGAAAGAGCACCAGCCATTCCAGCACTTAGTGACTACGGACCGATACTGCTTTAAATGTCGTTGATTAGCTAAATCGCGTGCTGTGTGTTTATTTTGCGTAAATGCTATCCAAATTCGAAACAAATGAAGAAGTTGTACTTCTTGTCTCATCGCTAAGAACTGCATCAGTTTCTTGTGTTTATATCTTTCTTCATTCTCTTGATTTATTTCTTCGCGACATTGTTTCCGCCACGACGATAAAGTGTGTTTCAGATTCAGTCGACAGATTACAGTGTTCAAATGATCTGCTGCACGTGACATGCATTTTTTAGTATTAAAAAATCGATACCACTGCTTGGCAGCGTTCTCAAGAATGCGCGCGTGAACTCGTTGCCGGAATTTGACCAATTTATTCTTGATTACGCGTTTCTGGTACGCAATCGAATACCATTGTCGCAAACTTATGCGGACAAGAGTGTCATTTTGTTGTTGTATCTTTCTAGAAACGAAAGACTTGACCTCATGGCTATTTTGCACAACGTTACACCACTTCAAAAAAACCTTTGCCAGATGCTGTCGATGAGCATGATATTGCAAGAAATGAACCGTTCGATTTTGATATCTCATGATGCTAGCTCCCAACTTAAGCGCATTAAAACATCTGGCTATCGTGATTGATACGTTGTGGACGTCTGAAACACTAGCCAGCTTGTAAGGTGGTAAGGCGCCTTTTTGGAGATAGAGCTCCATTTCTTTTTGTTGCTTAGCTCGTATCTCATTCACTTCTCGTAATTGACGCCCTTGATCCCGTATCAGAAGCAGTTTCCACAGAGTCATCGCACGTTGCTGCATTCGATGACGATCTTTTCTTAGCCAGCGTACTAATTGCGTGTTACGAGCTTGGGTTCTCCTCTGAATCGCCACGACAATTATCCAGTTCTTGAAACACAATGCTACAAGGCGTACGTGTCGGCATAACATTAGCTTCTGTTCTCCATCATGCTGTTTCTTAATCATCTCCACAGCCAATTTCCACTCTGCAAGGCAAAACAGCATCATAGATCTTGAGCGTTTCCGCAGTAAATTCACCTGAAAAGCATTCAAGGTCACTTTTCGCTGTTCAAGTTGCTCGTTTGTTCTTTTAAAACTCGTAAAGTGCTTCCAGCGCACAAATTGTTGCTGCACCTTCGCAACAAACACTTTTACTACTAATTTACGCAGCAAAATGCGTTCTTTAGTAAATGTCCTCCATCCTTGGAAGGTCTTTTGGATGGCGAATAAATCAGCCTTGTGCAGGTACAATATTGTAAACCTTTGAATAATTTTACTCTGCCGTCGTGTTTCGTTCCATGCCTCAAAGCACTGAATCTGCCACCGTCGCGAATAATAAGACTGAATCAATGTGATTGCATTCTTGAGACAATGCCGCTGGATGAATACATGGCTCCACCTTGAAAATATTAAGCATATTTGTCGGTTAGCCAAACGAGACTGAAAAGTCTCGATAATATTACGGTAATGCATTGATCGTCGAACAGCATTATGCCAAGCTTTATGTGCCCGTAACTGTACTAGACTTTGAGCTCTTTTTGTGCACAATGCTTTCAAAACAGCTTTTAAGCGTTGGGCTCGTCTTCTCTTGTCTGACAAACAACTGACTGTTTCCTGTAGCTTCTGTTCCTGTGTTGCTTGTATTTGTTGTGCTTTTAGTAGCAGCGTTTGCTGTATTCCTCGATCTCTCTCAAAAATAGTCTCAAGTTGGTAAAGTTGAGCATCTTTATCACCAAGAAGATTATTTATCAATAATTGTTTTTCTTTCAAAGCTATATGCCATTGCCATCGGCTCCAAGCACGTCGTAAGGCGCCAGAGTAGCTCTGTTTAATCCACCGATGTATAAGCCCACGCCGCATCTTTTTACACTTGAAATATTCCTCCCAGCGCAAGAAAATGTTCGCCAGCATCGAATGTTTGAGTCGTGCCAAACACCTGCCAACAACGATATCACGCTTTTGCCTAGACAGCACACTTTGTCGCCATGTAGTGAAGATTTGTTGTAGGTAAATAAAGTCACGTTTCGCAAGTTCAAGGCGAGCGTCCTGGTCACGCTGTTGCTGTTGTGTTTGATCATACACTCTCAGCTTTACAATCATCTCTTTCCACAAGCTAAAAGCAAGAAGTGTTTGATGCCTTTTCACACAAAATATTATCGTGTCAAGTCCAACTCGAAGTACCAATTGTCTTTTCGTGAAAGTCATCCACTGCAAAAAGCATTGCGCTGCTTCTCGGTCTCTCATCCGACTTATTACAGACAAAAAAGCAGCCTTTTTCACCTTCTGCTCGTTATTAAACGCTTTCCATGAATTGAAGCATTTGAGAACACACACCTGACGCATACGTTGATGAATATATTGCGTTTGCAAATGCTTTTTGCGGCTTACACACACGTTGTAAAGCCACGTACTCACTGATTTATGAAGCCTCATTCTTTGCATTTTCATTTGCACTGAATGGGCACGCTGGTTTATTGAGGATCGACAAATTGCGATAATCTTCCATTCCCGTACGATATTCTTCAGTGTTTGTCGATCAGACTGTTTCACAAGAAAATTACCGAGTCGTTCCTGTACAGCAAGCGCAACGATCCGTTCCTTCTCGGTTTTCTCCTTCCATTGTTTCTTTTCTTGGTCTTGAATAATCTGCATCTCTTGTCTTGCAGTGCTCGCCTCGTCAAGCAGCGATTTGAGCTCAACAATCTTTTTATCCTGAAGTTTCAGTTTATCATTTGCGGCTTTCAGTCGATTAACATTATCTGTTAATGCGAGACGAAAAGACTGAACGCTCCACATTTGCATTCCCCACCGACGTGAGTTTGAAGTCACTAGTCGCTCTATCATGTATACACCAGCCCGATATTTTTTTCCTTTGAAGTAATGCGATCGCCAGCTTGCCATCACAAGCTTCAAATCCAATCGAAATAGGTTTCTCATCAAGCTTTCTCCTATTCGTCGCCGCTCTACATGTCGACGGGCCCAGTTCTTCCACCGATAAAAAGTGCGTTTTGCTGCTTGTTGCAAGATTTTCTTCGCCCAAAAACCTGCTTGGTGGTTTCTTATCTTTGCAATGCGATCGCTAGTCTTAACATCCAACGCATCCATCATTGACTTTCGCTCCTCTTGATCATTTTTATTTTTTATCAGCGTCCTCCATTTACACCATGCCATTAACACCTTTTTCGTTGACCATACTGTCAACACATTGATGACTCGCTCTCGTCTGCTTCTAACTTGCTGTTGCTCTTGCACCTTAACGTGTTGCTTTGTTCTTTCTACAATAATCATTTGTTCATTATGCAACTTTCGGTATTGGTCCCTCAGGTCCCCATATCGAACCTCTAGTTCCTCCTTTTCTAGTATGACGTTTTGAAGTGTATTTTGTAAAGTCTTGACCGCCAATGCCGCTCGCTTAGTTTCAAGTGGATCGAATTCAAATCTCTCCTGGTACTTCACTACGAGTTGCTGATGCTGAGCCTCGCTGTCGGTAACTCGTGCCTCGAGTTTCTGCTGTTCCAGTCGATGTATCTCCTCCATACGCAGCTTCTCACTACGTAAAAGGCGAATTTCTTGCTCAAATTCTTCGTATTTCGTGTGTTCAGGCTGTTGTAGCTTGCGAGACGTTGTCACAAACTCATTTTGTTGCAATTGCCGCACATCTTCGCGTAGCTTCTCATTCTCCTGCTGCACCTGAATGTACGAGTCGTAAAGTGAAGTGACACATTGCGCCGACTTCCAATTTACACCAAGATCATTGGAATTCTCAGCCAGTGCGGCGACCTGCCGTTTATCCACCGGCATCAACAAATTCGTTAATGTAAAGCGACCGGATAGTGTCTTTTCAACTTGGCTCAAACACATCAATAATGTGTCACGTCTTTTACCAGTCAGAATGGATACATTGATGCCATTTTTTCAGGTCAAATCATGGCAACATACGAAGACTCGCCATCCTTCTCCTTCACGACGCCTGAGCAGCGACGTCAGCGCTATTCAGATCATGTCAACGACAGTACAATTGAAAAATGGAATTTTCATGACAGTCCCAGTCCTATCACTGCCGCACGTTTTCAAGGGGAGGAGCAGGATGAGAACAAGTCCCAAGAATTGCAGGGCCAGCACTGGATTTTCGCACATTCACACTTTAGACGACGTAACAGACTAGAAACGCGGTTAGAAGAGTTGCAGAAAGATGTTGCTAGTCTCACGCTCAAGCTACGCACCAATGGTAGCCGCAACACATCGCTTAATACGTCAAGCTTCCTCTACCCACCGAAGCAGCAAGAGGAGACAAAAATTTTCAAGGTGGGGCAAGAAAGATGCTGCAGCGGTAATGTCGTGCTATAAATGAAGAATTAAACTGTGCGAAAATGGTTTTTGTATTGAGTGTAGACGCCTAAAACAGTGGACAAGCGGCGTAAGAGTGCGAAAGAGATCGTGACAGGACGTGGAGTACAAAATAGCGTCGTCAAAGCACGGAGAGAATTACACGATGTCACAACCGAGAGAGACCAGCTTAAATATGATCTAGAAAGGACGAAGAGAGCTTTGAAGGGTGCAGAGAAAAAGTTGGAGGATGCCCAGAAGATTAAAGTAGCGTATGAGAAGCTTAGAGCGCACTGTGACTCGCTGCAAGAGTCGCTAGATTTATCCGAAAAGATTCGTGGAAGGCAAAAGAAATTACTGCATCAGTTGCAATTGCAGCAACAACAGTTTAAAGACGAAGAAACGCAGGATATGACAAAGAGACCAGCAGGTGGTGGTTTCAAGACGCGCGATAGCAGCACGATTCGTGTATCGACTACGACGACACCAAAAAGATTGCAACAGACTGATAGAGCTCAAGATTACACATGCATTAAATACAATAATTTGGACTCTTCGATCGCTTTCGACCATCACAGGGACGATGGAGATGAAGACGCAAGTCTCTCTAATCATGAGCAAGCACCAAGTGAACCGACCGCTGCGACTATTCAAGCCAGGACACCACGCCCCCACATACAGTCAACCACGTCAACCAGTAAAGCATGCAGGCAAAATTTTGATAGTCTCCTACGAGAGAATACTCCTCATTTCAGTACCAGACGTCCCGGTCAAATGATCACTCCTTCTCGACAATCAAGCCGAAGTCAATCTCAGCAACGTGAGGTTATGCGTCAAGCAGCTAGGTGGGCGCGCAATAGAGGGGTTGCAGTCGACAGTTTCAATTCCAACACTCACCTATCTACGCAAGAAAAGTTGACTGCAAGTCGACCGAGAAGTAGCTTTCTAGCCCCTACCCAAGCAAGTCTGCGTCGACTGCATGATCTTCCTCGTCGAGGTCATAACGTTCGACCCCCTTTTATTGTGTAAGTTCATGATACGAGCTCACGGACGACTTGCACCTTCATTAATTTGTAGTTTTCTTCAGCACTTTCCCCTTCTCTAAGCACATGAGTTCAGTATACGAGCAATTCTTGCTCACAGATTAGGATTTTGGTTTATTTATTAAACCGCACATACAGCACTGTTCCGATGATGCATGGGGTGTTCAACCTCTGGTCGACGTTCTCTCGACTTCACCATCGCTGTGTACTTCCTTCTTCAGGTCTACCATCACTCGAATATGTACCGGAGCAGTCTTGTTGATGTATTTGGTCTAGAAGCACGACGAGCTTTTGAACATAATGAGTGAATTTGATCTAGCACTTGTCACATTAAAACTAGATGATTTATTGGACAACCTACTTTGTCGCTTTTCGCCATCAAGAAGATGATGATCTCGATGGAAATAAGAATTACTAGGTATGGAAGGAACTGCTGATTACAAAACTAGCGTCTGACTCTTATTGAGCTTAAAGTTGCCATTGCATTATTAAGTAAGCTTTGTGACAGTGCTAGCCAGAAGCGATGTTTTAAAAGGAATTCAAGCAGTAATAAAGGGATTAAGGAAGATGAAAAGCAGCTAGGCGCGTCAAGCCATATGTTTGACGGCTACAATTTTCACCTAAATGGAACAAGTTAGCTGTTGAGTATGCAGACTTCCAAGTCAACCTCTGCGTTCCTAACGTGAGTTTAACTGAACTGTGCTTCACACATTTTTCATGAGAAATTCGAATTTGCCATTCGTCTCAAGAGCTGCAATTTGATGTACCCATATTGCGTTTTACAATGTCAAGCCGTGTTGTCGGCGTCTCCTTAGCCACCCATCACTATGAAGATCACAGCTTTTATATACATCAAGGTAGAGCAACTTTTTCTTATATCATCGAATTTCAGTTCACATGTTACAGCTTAATACTATGGCGACGGCAATGCGGTCTCGCAACACTAAATTCTTCATATCAGATTATGGTCAGATAAAATCAACATCGATGAGATCACCTTGACTCCTTCCTCGTCATTCGTTGTTGCAAAGGTTTCACCAGTAAATCGGCCGGACATTCTGTGCAGGACAACGATGACCCTTACTGAGTTGTTGAGCAGTTGGCACTTTGGACTCGATATGTACGGAGACCAATGTTTTGACGTATCTGACGAGCTGCTTGCTACCAGCATGCGCCTGTACAGGGGCAAGCAGATAAATTAGTGCGAAATATACAATCGAGTGCTTTTCGTGAAAATATCTGCGGGACACCGAATCTGTGGTCTAAAGTGGAGAATCACGTGACGTGATGATGCGATAATGACGGCGTAAACCGCAATTACGTACGAGCCAGCTACTTCACAGCACAGGACCAGTTATGTTGAGAAATAAGAAATTCGAGATGATGCATGAAGCAGTGACCGAATTTGCAGCAACTCATTCTTTGGGAGCACACTTAGATTTTTGTCAAAAGGCCTCTAATCTCCGTTTCGGATAATGTACATTCCAAATCGCGTGTAACTACAACGTTTTACAAACTTAACCATGGAAAATAATGATCTTATAGAGCGCACGTATCAAGCCCTCGTTAGTATGGTTCATACTACCGCTGTGAGTCGAAAAGTGGTAGCACGACCTCCTTTTACATTTCTGCACAAAATGCTTGTTGAAACGCTAGGCAACTATGACCTCTTCTCAGAACAGCAGCTCGTGCTTTCTGCCACAACTACGAAACAGGCCAAGGTCAGATTGTAAGGATTAGATGGAGGTGGGGTTGCAATTGATTTTGTGGTCGTCATATCTTTAGGCAGCCTTCTTGACACGCGCAATTGCGTTTGTCACATTCGCGATGAAAGCAAATGCCCGCCGTCACCACATTCCCTGCCTCTTACTGGTCAGCCCTATCCAAGTTCTTGCAGGCTTAAGTGTCTTCAACACACTTGAATTTCTTCTGCAGCTTACTGAAGTACTCCAAATGCCTGATCGCGGAGTTAAGGATGCAGCCGCGAAGGAAGTGCGAGAAAAGGGCGACGCATATTTATATTCTTTAGGAGTAACATTTCGCAAAGGGCTTGTACTCTTCCAGATGATAATTCGCAAGCGTCTTCATCGAGTGCACAATGCTACTTTAGTTGACAAGTCGACAGAATATGGAAATGAGCAGGCGATATTTGCGAGTATCCCAAATGGCCGAAGGAATAACAGTTCTTTTCGAAATGTGCAAGGGAACGTTCGTGTCGTAGGATACGAGGAAGATGCCCAGGCAAAGGACAAATTTGGTGAGTGTTTGTGTACTTTTCGGGGAAAAATTGCAGCAAGCGTGGTCTGCTCATCTTTTGTTGTTCTCCAAAGACAATAGCAAAACGGAGCAGATTGAGATTTGTGATACAACGCACTCCCGACTTGATAAACCAGAGCATGTAGAAACTTCCATCTCACCCAACTCTTTGATCCAGTTCCAAAGGCACATGACTCCAAAGGTGGAGTCATCTGTTTTTTTGTTTAGCAAATCCTCTTTGAGTGCGAGTTCCTCGAACATCAAAACTTCAGAATCCCTCGATGAGTTGCAGTCCAATCTAGAAGAAAATCAGATAGATTCCAGTAAGCTTAAAGACAGCAGTGATTGGCAAAGAATGTTGAAGAAAGTACTTGCTGATGGCAGCAGCAAACCGGAAATGTCTTACTTTGATTCAGATGGTCACAGCCGATCACAGATAGAAGCCATGCAGATGAACACTTCGGACCCAAGCAAAGCTAGCTTTCCGAAATTATGCAATCAGCACACGAGGCCTTTGGCGCCAGTGAAGAAGCGAAGATCTTCTAACGAGGGGAACTCTAACACTGATACTAAAAGCAGACATCAAAAAGATGGGACACCATGGCAAGCAGCTCAGGTCAAACTCTCTAATAACACATTGACAGCAGAAAGTAGATTGTCACGTCAGCGTGACACCAGCTCATCAAATTTCCAACGCTCAGGTACACTTCTAACAAATATTCAAGGTGCTGATTCTCCGTCTCTTTCATTAGCTAGTCTCAGGGACTCGGTCACAACTGTATATTCTGGCATGTATCAAACGACTGATCAATGTACACAAGAGCAACTAACTTTGGTTAGGGACGTCGTTCTTCGAATCGATAGCTACATTAAAAGAAAGCGACTTCGAGTCATTGACCTGTTTCGGTACTGTGACGCCGATGGCAATGGAAGCATTTCAGCCGAAGAATTGATCGATACGCTCTCGCAAATGGACATTCAATTATCATCTAAGCAAGCAAACGTTTTTCTTCAGCATATTGACAAGGATAAAAATGGATTGATCGATGTGGATGAGTTTGAGATGCTAGTGCGTATCTTTCGTCGCAATGAAGCCCAACGCGAACAGGTAAAGAGAGAGCTTAAAGCCTCGAAGAGACGCTCGGAGAAAAGCTTTGGCCTGAAACCCAGTCTCGTTATGAAAGCCAAAACTAAAGCGGCTATTCTCAACGAATTTAAAATCGCTCAAGGAGGCAATGACGGGATGAACGCAGAACAATTACGCTTGCTCATTAATCGTCTTTCGATTCCAAAAATGAACGCAGCATTTATCGATTCTCTGATTGATCGTGCTGTTGGGCATGCAATAGGCGGTTTAGTAGCGCTTTTATCTACGAGCCCTGAAGAACAAACCCGTACTCAAACCGACAAACATATGATTTCACATCAGCATCTTGCAACAGCGCTGGACGAGCTCGAGTGGATTGAAAAACCCAACCGGTTTCTCAACCAGTCTTGGATCCGTCAATTCGATTTCCAGCTGAAGCGAGCCATCCGCGAATACGAATCGATTTGATCCATGTTATAAGGAGAGGTACACATGGTCAAACCTATCAGTACATTACCGAAGAGGTCGTACAGGAAAAGCCTTCTAGCATGACAAACCTCTTTTAATACCTAACTACGCTTCCGATGCGTTCGATGCTTTTGGCAAAAAGCTTGCAACTGACCCCCTTCTTTCATAAACATATCATATGCGCCTCTCGTCTCCCGACCACATAATGGGTGGAAGTACGTCGAACACCCACCGCGCATGCACTTGATGCAGCCACTCTCCTTGTCACATATCGCACAGCTTGAGCCCTTCAATTCTTCAGCAGCAGCAGCCACATGTTTTACTCCACTCATGCGCTCCACATTGGAAAATTGAACACCAGGGGCCCACAAGGCACACACGACGTGGACCCACTTGCCTTCAATCGTTTTTTTGAATGCGCTTTTCGGGCGCTTCAACGGACACAGCTCGCATGTCTGCAGCAATATCAAAATGTAGTCCACATTAGAATTATGCCAAGGTAAGAGCCAATCGAGCTTGAAACGTACCGCAATAACAGATGAGCCATTCTGCTCCGCACAAAAGTCACAGAACCACGGTTCATCTCCTTCGGGCACCGCGCCGATGCCATAACAATACTGTGTGAATTATAACAAAATAATTAAAAACAGAGCACGATATCATGAGCCACATATAACATTGCACTTACTTGATGGACAGCAACAGAGCACTGCTCACACTGAACAATAGGGTCGTCAAGAAAGCCTTGATCACTGAAACACACGCGACACCACATCTCTTCATCCTCCTGCGGATCAACTTTGTTCATCACAACCGTATTAGATTCGCCGCTAGATTTGTCATTCTTACGCGGGCGGCCACGCTTCTTCGCAGGCTCCTCTTCTTCCTCCTCATACGCATCTTCCTCTTCTTCTTCTTCACCTTCCGATCCGCTTAAATGGTCGTCACCATCTGATCCACTTAGATGGTCCTCAGCTTCTGAACCGCTCACCTGATTTTTTCCCCCATCCTCAAAATATATAATATTCGATCGCTTGATTTCGGCGGGGGTCGATGGTGATTCAGCATCACTACAAGATTTGTCAAGCTTCTTTTGAATTTTAGTCATCTTGCTATAGACCTTGAAGACACAGAATTCATTAATGCCGTTTAATCGCTTGATCGAAATGTACAAGCCACTAAGGGCACGGCTACTAGGTGAAGAGGCACTTGAACTTCTAATAGCGCTAGATTGGCGAGAGGCTTTCTTGCGTTTAGAAATGTCGACATCGTCATCGGCAAAATCGTCATCACTTTTGTAAAGCTTATGCTCTTTACTTCTGCCATTATACTTGGGTGTTCGCTTTCGGCGAGCACCACTCAATTTTGTCTTGATAGGCTTATCTTTAGGCCCGTCAAGAAACTCCAGATACATCAACTCATCTCCGATATCATGGCTTCTTCGCCGTCTGGGTCGTTCAATCACCTGTAGCCAGTCAGTGGCAATTTCACGAACGTTGATTACTTCTTTTATGACACAACCGGTGACTTTTAACTCGATTAAGATTGCCAACACTTGATCGGCATCAGCAAGAGACTTGCCTCGTTGTCGCTCTTTTACAACAGCACGAGCCAGTTCACGTAATTGTAAGAGAAAATCCTTGACTTCGTCTTGAGAGGCCGTCTTAAGCCAGCCTTCTTGAACTTTTGTCATAAGTACCTGGACAGGCTTAGGACCAAGCACCTTCTCCCAAAATTTCTCGTCGTTAAAATCGATTGTCGTGTCAGCCGATTCGGATGTGAAGGTTGCTTTAGAAAATGACAGAGCAGTTGTTTGGGGAATTCCTGTAGGCCTCGTGTCGCTTTCATTTTTGCCGCCATTCTCCTCAGTTCCTCCATTTTCACCGGAGCTTGTCGGGTCATATCGAATTGTACGACTGGTTGACAAAAGATGATCGATATCAAGCTCATTGATAGCGCGGTTATCAGGGTCCTGCTCATCTTCTTCTCCCATTATAGCGTAAGCTCCGTATCTAATCATCATCTCAACTTTTTCACGGTCTAAGGACATCAGGGACATCATATTACCACTATTGTCTTCGCCATCAAACTCATTGCGGACACCACCGGTCTCGAACACAGCATGATGCATTCCAAGCTTCTTTGACGCAATTTCAAACATCTGAGCTTCGTACGTTTTCTTCGTCACTAATCGGTAAATATTTACTGACTGCGTTTGTCCGATGCGGTGGCAACGAGCAACGGCCTGAAGGTCATTCTGAGGGTTCCAATCGCTATCAAACAAGATTACTACTGAAGCTGCAATCAAATTAATGCCTACACCACCAGCGCGAGTACTCAAAAGAAACGCGAACGTATCCGAACCGGGATTGTTGAAACGGTCTATTGCCGCTTGACGGGAATTTCCGCGAACAGACCCATCCAGACGTTCCATGCTGTATCCGCGTAGGTGACACATGTCCTCAATTATGTCGAGCATTATCTTAAATTGCGAGAAAATAAGCACTTTTTTCTTTTCTTGACGAAACTTTGTCAGCAACTTATCCAGCAGAACAGTCTTGCCACTTGCTTGAGTTAAGATCTTCATTCGAGTTTGCTCGTCCAGACCAGCGCACTCTTTATCTTCAACGCCACGAATCAGGAATGGATGGTTGCAGCACTTGCGTAATTCCATTTCAACATTCACTAGATTGGCAACTGTACCTGATGCACCCATATTTAAGAACTGACGATTACGCTCGAATATAGCACGATAATATTTCTTCTGCATAGTTGTAAGCTCCACATCAACGATGGTTTCTTCTTTCGGTGGAATGCTTTTTTCTACATCCTCTTTCACACGACGCAGCATGAACGGCCTCAGCTGCTCGTGCAACTGAGCTACCTGTTCAGCTGTGTTCAAATCGCCAAATTCATCGTAAAATTCTTGCTGACTTGGAAATTTATCGGGCTCGATAAAATTTAGAAGACACCAAAGCTCATATACGCCATTCTGTAACGGAGTTCCTGTCATTAGAAGGCATGAATCCCAAGTGAACCCATGAAGCACTTGAAGTAGCTTAGCTTCACGGTTCTTTAGTTTATGAGCTTCATCGATCACGATATAACGCCAGTGAACCGAGTCAAGAAACTCAGCGTCCATCATAAGCGTTTGGTATGATGTGACCAAAACGTTAAACTTGTAAATACCTCGCCTACGATGAACTTCACTCGCAAAGTGAAATTCCTGTTCACGGATAAATGCACGAATCTCGGAACCGCCTTCAGAATCATGATACACGACACAATTCATTGTAGTCCACGTCTCGATCTCTCGCTTCCAATTACCTAGTGTTGCAAGCGGCGCAACTACTAGGAATGGACCTCGTATAAACTCGCGTTGACGCAAATGCTCAAGTATAGAGGTTGCTTGAACAGTCTTTCCAAGACCCATTTCGTCGGCAAGAATACAATTGCGGCGATTATACCAGCAAAATGTCAACCAGTTAAGCCCTTCTAGCTGGTATGATCGCAATTTATTTTGATTGTTGTAGACTGGAGACTCCTGGTATTTCGCCCAAGTGTTAGGTTCCGGGCGAACATCAGCATACGTTGCAGGATGTGCACCATTTATAATGGGAGGGTGATTGAAGCGATGGTACGCGGCAATCTTACGGTCATCCGTCAGCTGATCTTCCCACTCCCACGTGCAATCGACATAGCTCATGTCGCGCCACTTCACCAGGTATTTAATACCAGTCTTTTTAGGCACCGTCAACTCAACACTGCTTTCTTTTTCCAGTAGATGAACGAGATAAGGGTTTGATTCCTCAGGTTCCTCAACCTCTTTTGCGTTCAAAATACGATCAACTTCGATGTATGAGTCACTAAAATAATTGCTGAGATCCTTTTCTTCGCCGACGACGACAATTTCTCGAGCCTCTTCTACAGAACGACTATTTTTTTGTAGGTGTCGCCTCATGCGCTGAATAGCATGCTGGCCAAACTCCTCAATTTCACGAACAGAGAGCCAGTTCACGTGAAGATACGATGTATCTTTCCACTTTATAAGAAATTCCATTGACACATCGGAGTCCGCCAAAGTGTCCTTGTGGAAACGCACGCTTACAATTCGATCAATCTGAGGACCCTTCAAAGTATCTTTTTGCTTCGGCTTTTCCGACTTCTCTTCATCGCTAAGTTCAAAATCAAGTTTTTCTTCAACATACTTCTTCTTCGCCTTACCGACATTGCGTCCGGATCGGCGGGCTGGCTTCTCCTCCGACAAAACCCTGGGTCCTGAAAAATTGTCGTCGGATTCACTTTCGTCCTCCTCTTCATCAGAAAAGGCCTTCTTTTTTTTTCCACGCTTTGTCTTCTTTTTTGCTGGTTTTGAGATAAGGATAGGAGCAAAGTTCTTTCTTTTGTTCCTGCTGGCATTTGGCTGAACATAATTATGTGCTGTCGTCTTCAGCGCACGACTTAAAATCTCATTTGGAATATTACCACCAGTAGACGTAAACTTGAAGACCATGATTTGAGCACGCAGCTGCTCTTTCTGTTCTAAAGTAAATGCCGCTCGAAGCAGTGATCTTCGGCGCTGCACTGTCTGCACATCTGTCATTGCAGCGGGAACATTACCCTTCGTACCATCACCGGCAGGGTTCATAAATTGGACCGCTCCATTGCCATACGTCTGAAGAATGTACTGGTTATAGGCCCTTGCCGCCTCATATTCGGTTGGAAAAACTCCCAGCCGTCGAATTCCCCCACCATCTACGTGTAACTCTGCGGCCCACCGATTCGGCGAAATATACCGAACACCTAAATGCCACATCCCAGTTGTGAATAACCGAGGATTGTCCAAACCTACGAGTGAAGTTTGCTGCCCCTTTCGATAGACATTAACGTCTCGGTTGCTGCTCAACAGTCCACTACCAGGTCTTCGAAAGCGCAACAAAACGGGACGAAGAGACTTTAAACGGGAAACAACGCGAGCAAAATCTTCTTGGCTTTGTACCAAAAAACCGTCCACTGCAATCAAATCATCGCCAACAGAAATCATACCGCTGGCCTCAGCAGGTCCCATCAAAGCAGATTCTGGTCGGCGAAAACTTGTCACAGAAACGGATCCTAAGCGAACACTCATATTCATGCACAACCCGATTGATCCCTTTTGAAGCAGGACCTCATACTCGTTACCAGGAAATTGATTTATCCAACCGTGAGCTTTTATGTTTTCTGCACCGACTGATGCACGCAAGACATCGACAGCAAGGGCGCTTGCTTGGGCTGAAGAAGACGCATTTTTAGCATAGGCACCCAACCGGCTAAGTTTCGTCCGCTCTATGGCGAACGAATTCTCGTCCAAACGCTGTGGAACCAGAGATTTTGCTGAAAATGGAGCCGGATTTAAGTTGGGGTCGTTACCTCCTTGATGCTGCCCCTGCCCACGTCAAAGAGCCGTCAACATTATCGAACTCTAACTAGCTTAGCTATATAACACTTTCACACGTACGCTAGGACCTCTGAGTGGACTTTTATGTGTTTGAGCTCCCTGTTGTCCTGCCTGTGAGATCCAAATCTGGCTACTTTGGGATGCCATTGGAGCTAAAGTGCTTTGCTCTATCATGGCAGGTCCGACGGGTGGACCATCTTGAGGTGTAGTGTAAAATGATGGCGCATTGGTGTGATGATAGAACATTTGAGACTGTGATACAGCATTGCTTCCCAGAGGTAGATTTTGCGCACTTGCGGCGTCGTTCTGCACATTGCTGTTATCACAATTCGAGTGATCGACTTTATCGGCCATGTCTCCTTCGTGTGTCTGATTCATTGAACGCGGATCTCCGTCTAGCGGACGAATAGGGGTGGGCGACGACGCCATAAAATTTGATGAAGCAAACGGGAATTGCACTTGGCGATTAGAACTTTGCTGCGAAAAGTTGTCAACATGCAACGATGACGTAGTATCCTCGCCTAAAGATGCCGCTATATCTGTTTTTGACAAAGAATGTTCGGTCGATCGCGTCTCGCTCTCCTCGTTTTTTTGCTGATCATTTACTTCTTGCTTTACAAACTCAACACTAACGTTTGATTCATCTGCCGTCTTAAAATTTGCCTCGATTGACGTCGATGACGTCGCTACTTCTATCTCGGTTTTCTTCCATTCATCATCACTGTTCTTCGCTGATCCTGACGCAGCAGCACTTTCTCCAATACTTTCGCGATCGAGGAGGCAAGATTTTTCTATGACTATCGCCTGCTTAGCAGCAATCATGTAGTTCAACTCATTCTCAACTCCCGACTCCTTCAAATCTGTCTCTCCATTCATTTCCTGCGTTATAAAATTCTTTTTTGCGTTATTTCGAAAGTTATTTTCCGCCTGATGTTCCACTACATTATGAACAGGCATTTCCTGGTCCTCACGCTTAGCCTGTGCGTTCTCAGGGGGATCCACCTTGTGCAGCGACACCTCGCACGATACGTCGTCCATACGAGACCAGTGCGCTCAAACGACTCTGTCGGGTCAATTGTATATATATAGTATTCCTGCACGGGTCAAGCTTTTGCTCCTTCTTCAGCGGAGACGCGCCAGGATCCAAGAATGATTGCGCTTTTTTCCTTTCGCTTCTTCCGGTTATCCGCATTAATATGGCGGCTCGTGGCGGGCTGCAATATAAAACCTTTTAGAAGTTGTAGCAGCGCACCGAGATATTCAGTTTGAATAAGCGAGAAAAACCTCATTTTGGATGAACGGGGCAGTTCAATCAAAAATAATGTCCGACCAAATTTGTCTCCAATAGTTATACTTGTGCAAGTCATCGATGCTGTTTACTGTTCGTGCAGCAATAAATATTCTTGACAAAGCTTGCGAACGTAACGATTGCTTTATCAGGTCAAATTTTAGTAGTCTTGTATATATCCGTCACGACCGAGCAAACGTTTCCTGCACCCTTTCTACCTCGCTTGGATGGTTGAGATTGCATGCTTGATGCTCCGTATTGATCAAATTATGACCTAACGTCATATATAGTTCGATGTCTCCAGTGATGATGGGACGGGACACACGTCGCTAATCTCTTTGTACCAAGGAGTATTGTGGACACCACAAGCCCGACGTGACGCACGTAATGGACACTCAAATCGTGACTTTACTTACAGTATATGGACTACCGATGCATCTTGATTGGCTGGTACACGGCAGTTTTGCAGAACTTTGTGAAGCTTTTCGCTGGTGTCGAGCGATCAACAGAACGATACCTGGAAGCAACATTGCAAGTGCCAGCTCTGTGCGCAATGTTTTTGCAACAATATTTGATTGAAATTATACATACAGTGCTAGCAACTGTAAAATATAAAGATGAGACTTTCAAGCATTGACAAGTTGTTGACCACTTAGGGAGATCATCGATTGTGGTGCTCGAGCTTGTGTTGGCTTTAAATATTTATCATTTCGTCCGTAAAAAATATTTTTTAGCTTAGCCGGTTCAAAAGCATTGAAAACGTTCCGTCGATAAAGCAAGTCCATGTGCTTGTTATTCGGCTGCTAATCGCTGAGCTTTAGCGCAATTTATTATGTTGGACTTGAAGCTTCTGCTTAATATCAGAAAGCGACGTTTTCGTTCTATCTGTCGTTACTTTTCAAATGTTGGACATGATTTTGTATATATGCTACCGGGACCCACACGCAAGAACTAGGCTTTCTCTCGCACGAAATGTTGGTAGCTATTCGATTTTTTCTGTGACCGAATTCCGTACCCTCATTACACTATGGGACTTTTACGGTCATTTGGGTGTCCAGCCCACCCGATTATCGCATACTCGACAGTCACACTTCTTGAGAGTGATTGCTCGTCACTTACGTGACCAATCTTCGACTGCCTTGATTCGGATCTACCTCCTCAAGCAACTTACCACTTGAGCCCCAGCGACAGTCAGATGTTGGACATAGAGCAGACGAAAAGATCGTGGCACATGATTCTTGGAAGCACCACAAACAATATATTAACGGTCTTTCGAACGAAAAGGAAACTACCATCTTGCGTCGATGTCTTTGTATTCCAGATGTATCACAATTTTACAGCTTATTTTCAAATTTTACGACTTTGAGTTGACAATAAGATACGTTTACTCTAATAAACACACTTTGACAACAGGACTAGAGGTATAAGCAATTTCAAGTCCCTGCGCGGTAGGTTTGTGCCTTAAGGGCCTTTCCTTTTGGATCTCCGCCAAGTCAACATTTTAAGCTTCGTCAATTTGGCTTTATATCTGACAAAAGACGGCAATGCGGAACACAAGCCATTTTCCACGGTGAAAAAAAAGTCGCGGCAATACAAACATGAAAGTGCACTTTGTGCTGTAATAACAATTTCATTTTCGTTGCTCGACTCTGTCGTTCTTTTGAAAATTGCATGTATCCAGCGAATTTTTTTCTGTCATGTTAAGCAATCGATACATTCCTTCATGAAACAGATTTACACCTGTATAAACGTTGTTTTTTACCGAATTACCAAATTATGAAATGAAAAGCACGATGCTATGTATCACATCTTTCGCCAGTGTCTTCAGTTCACTCGTTTATTAATTCAATAGTAAGCAAGAGGGAAGTGAGCTACGCAATTTGCTGCACGCAATTTGCAATTTCGTTGTAGTTTTTGGCAGTCCAAACGTCTCCATATCCTTCCGAATGGGCGTTGTAGTGCTAACGTAAGAGCATGTATGCTCCTCTTTTTGGCGTCCTACACGCTAAAGCCGAATTACTTCAAGAGATCTAACGTGGGTTTTGCAAGAAATACTTTAGAGTGCTCTGTAATAATTATTTGCACCAAACGAACATCTCTACGTGGTGGTATGAGCGAATCATATTACTGAATATGATGCAACTGCTTACCCGTGAGGCGGACATAGCGGAAGCCGCGCTGCCTTAAAGTTCATCGCAGAAGCCACGGTGATTATAAAATCATATTAGAAGAGACTCATAATCTCACGAATCCAGTGGCTGACGCCGCATGTTATAATACCGTCTAGCTACTCAATTGTAAAATTGTATGCTTTTAAGCTAGTCAAGTTTCGGGCAAATTTCACAGCTAGACACTGCATATTAAAAAAACAGTGATTACTGAGGGCACGACATCGGTGCATTTGTGCCGTCTCGCAAAAAAATTAGGCATTCGATGAGACACCATCTTTGTACTGAGGCTTGAGCTCGTAGCAGCTCTTGTTTGGTCCCTTGCGATGGTAAACGCAGATTTCCTTTAGAATCTCCTTTAACAGTGACTAAAAATGTCAAGCAAGACGGATCAAGACGTAGAGGTCTCAGAATAAAGTACATAAATCAAGTGCAATCAATAAGTGATGCGGTGGTCTTACCTCGGGCTGACGACAATGATAGTTGAGCTCCTTAAGTGGCCAGTAGTCACGCTCTTCAAAGTGATGAAAGACAAGATTTTTTAATTCATCCTACGATTGAAATAGTAACACAGGAGAGGGTAAAAATTGTCAACTTCGCTTCCATAAATCGAGTAATTTTTACTTTGCTCATCTTGATCTTCTTGTCCGACTTTTCCCATAGCCTTGAATCAGTATCATCCTAAAAAATGTGGTAGATCAGCGGTGGTGAGCAACTCAGGCAAATACAATACTGCATACAACATCCTTCAACCAACCTCCTCGCCCTCGGCTTCAGCCTTTTCGATGGTGAACTGGATTCTGGCCTTCTTTACGCGGGGAAGATCTTCTAACGGCTGCACAATTCTGTGCGGCAAACAATGCTGGTGTCAGCTCACACACGAACAAACATTCTTCAGCCATATTAGCACACCTTGTCTTAACCATTGATTTTATCAGACGCTTCTTGCACATCTTGCTATACTGATCGTTTCGCAGCGCCATGATAGTGCAGCTATTTTTCACTGTGCCTTCAATAGCCATCCGACCGGAGCCATCAAGTGAAAATACCTTGAGCTTCAGCGGCGTTTCGCTAATTTCCACGCGGTACTCGGTTGGGATGTCTTCTTCCAGTGTGCTTGGATTTACTGTCAGCATTCCCTAATCATCCAAACTTATGGCATGAATTAAAATGTGAATGTTCTAGTCGTTGTACCTTACGACGGCCCAGCACGCTTTTATTTTCCAGCTTGATAGACCCCAGCATCAGCTCACTCTCTGTATCCAGCAAATTCAGAAGTGATAGTTTTCATTTTGCAAGATATGACACAATTTTAACCTTGCACGTTTTTCCAAGACACTCCAAGAGCAGTCTAACAAATCGAGCCAACATCACGGTAAGCAGCAAATAATAGCCGATTATAATATTATATCATACTGGGATTTTAGCAAGGTACACCTCGCGGTCTTCTAGCTCAAGATGCAGCGGCTCAACTTGCTCGGGTTCGGCCATTGTGTTTGAAATTTATTACAAATTAACTCATATTCAGATAGTAGTATATTATACCAAGTTTATCAAACTCCAAATTGAATATAGTAAATTAAGGACATGGCTGTGTCGGTGCTGATGCTAAAGGCAGCGGATGCTAAGTACATGACCGCTTTGGAAAGGTGTCCTCGCCCTCAATCTGCCCGAAAGTTGATGAAGGCATATTTTATAGAGGCTCTCAATTTCGAATACATCAATGTCCATCGGCTAGTGGATGTGTTGATACATCTGGAGCGATACAGCGGCATCTTATTTACGAGTCCACGCAGCGCAATCGCAATAAACAAATTGCTGGATGAAATGGATGCGAGTGTTAGGGGTAAAGTGCTAGAAAAATTGCAGGTTAAGCCTGTGTATTCAGTGGGCGCCGCCACGTCGCGCGAGCTGTTGCCACTTGGAGTGATCTGTAAGGGTGACGACGCCGGCTCGGCTGATGCGTTATGCAATTACTTGCATCAGCGTGGGGCTTTGCCTCCAGACGCCAAGGAAAAGCCAATGATTTTTCTTTGCGGTGACAAGCGACGGGAGGTTCTCCCCAACAGCTTCCGCTCGCGGGGACTTCCACTGGAGGAGCTGGTCGTGTACCAGACTAGTGCTGTACAGAATATCAACTTCCCTGATGATTGCAAGGTGCCGAACTGGATCGTATTTTTCAGCCCAAGCGGATTAAATGTGATAAAGGACATGGCTTTGCCCTGGAAGTCCATCCGAAAGGCAGCCATCGGTAAGTTCACTTCACACTTTAATGTCGCTATGGATGGTGATGGATGCTAACATTATTACTCACTCAACCTTCAGGCAAAACAACTGCAAGTGCCTTACGCCAACACGCAGTGGCTACGAATGAAGCATTCTGGGAACCGGATGTCACCGCGTCAATGCCCGACCCGGAGTCTTTGGCCTGCGCCATATTTGACTTTGAAGAACGGAATTTGTCGTGAATTGGCAGCATGCCCGAGAGCAAAGAACATAAATGCGCATGCAAAATTGTCGGCATTACGCATCAATGTTATCAGAAATTATATCTTTGGCAGCTAAGTTTTATTGCTACTCCTTGAAGATAATGTGAAGATGACGTCAGGACAACGATATATTTTTTGTATTAACTTGATGCGTATTTACTCTTCTTCGATTTTGCGCGGTTGCATGGCAAGCTTGAGAGCCTACATAAGAGATTACACTGGTTATGACATTACTATAAGCTCAACTATAGATAAACGCACCTCAGCGGCCTCCCGTCGCGCGTTCCAGTCCGATGTCGGCCCAATAATGACCTGCATGGCGCCCAAGACTAAACCGCTTGTGAGCAGGTAGCGAGCAATTCCATTCATTCCGGAGACGATTACGTTTTTTAAATTCTGAGGCTAGCATGGCGTCGAGTGGTCCACGCGAATGTACTCGTACGAATTTTTACATTGCAAGACCTTTAATAAATAGAAGACTTAATCGAAAAACACAAATCGAGCTGCTCCGTGCGCCACCATCACTTCGTGATCATTTTTATAGACCACCCGAAATTTTCCGAGATGTTTCGCTCATTCAAACATGTAGCGCGGCGCTTCGGATAAAAAGAACAAGATTGTCGATTTGAGAGCGCCCGTGAGCCATGACCAGGTCACAAGAAGTACTTGGGTAAATCTGTACCCGCCACAAGAACCGTACCTTTGATACTAAACGAAGTGAAAAGATACCATATAGTAATGTATTCGAATTGCGCAAGGGGTAAGGAAAGCACGTCGCCTTATCCGTCCATCAGCTCTTACAGGCCAGATCTAGTTTAACAAAAGTCAGTCATTGAAGGCTTGGGTTGCGAAGTACGAAGCACAACGTGAGCATCGATACAAATTCCTCCCACCACAAATTATGGTTGTCAACAGCTTTACACATCTTCATTAGCCTGATGGCGTAGCTACCGATCAAGTTGTAAACCTGGAACAAAATCGGTTCGCTTCTTGGTCCCGCACTAGTGTTTGAGTTCGACTAGTTGTTCTTTTCGTAAAGAAATCGTATGCAGTCGTGGAGAGATGGGAACGGGTTCCACTTGCTGGTGAGAAGCACATTACGCTCGGCAATCTTGCCAATAATAGCATAAACTTCTATCAGTATTGGAGTGAAAAATCTTTCCTGCCTCGCCTGATACTAGCAACGACCCAGGTGATCCCGTCGACTTACTATACGTTCCGTATGTGAGTGAGCCACTCCCTGTTCGTCAGGCAGCTCATCTACGGTTGCCTCACATCGAGAGTATCGTCGTGATGCGGATACTTAGATTAGCCAGGGTTCGAATGCGCTTATCAGTAAAGGAAGTACTCAAACGATTTAGAGCCGTATCGCTGCCCTAGAAAAGATGGCAGCGCACTTACATGGGATTGTTGGTATACTCTTCCATGTTTTACTGAACACTTCACACCCCTCAAACTCCCACGAGTTCTCGGAGTTCGAATATCCCCGCCAC